CCCCAAAACCCCAAAACCCCAAAACCCCGTGTTTTAGTATCCTAAAAATAAAAAAGTAGAAATAATTAAATTTATACAATAAAATTGTCAATACTTATTAAAAACATTCAAACTGCAATGAAAGGAGGTTTTAGAGATTTCGCCAAGGAAGTTGTAATATTCAAATATACTTGAAACTATTTTTAGAATGAAAAATAGACATTTCCTACTTTTGAGCAATACAAGAACTAAGTAAACCAAGGTATGGAAAATGTGACAAAGAAACAGAAATCAAGCTCAATAAAGATGGCAGTTTAGAATTAAGAAAGCTAGAGAGCTCAACCTGAAGAGGGACAGAAGTGGAATCGCTATTTTGATGATTTAAAAGATAAAGTAAAGCATCAAAGAGAGTAGATAAAGTAATATGATGACAAAATTGCATAACACAGAGAAAAATAATACAATGTAATGTCAATTCTACTACAATTAATGATAATTAAGTTGCTTACCTATTGTTTTAGAATGAAATTCACTAGAAGTTAATTGATAAAATGAAGTAATAGAGAGTCTATCATCTCTAGAGATCGTTTGCTAATCAAGCACCACAAAAAACTGAAAGATTGTACCAAAGAGTCTAATAGAATACTGCTCTACCTTTTATAAAAAGAGATAAAACTGTTTCACCTACTAAAAGAGCCAATCATACCTCATCATCTCCATCAAGAACTCTCTTAAGGGGTAGGAAGTAGCTTAATAATCATCAGCAACCTCAAATAGAAATTGTAGAGAACCTCGATTAAAATGATGACGACTATAATGATGGTGGTACTGGATTCTTTATCACTAGGATATCTGACAAAAATGTTGATTATATCAATCAATAAAAAAATCTTATTGCTCATTCAAGTAACTCCTTTTAAAGATAGGCAACTTCGTTTTGTAAATTTTATAGTATTAAACCATATTTTTAGCTGTAATAAACAATTAAGCTAAACGAACAGACATGAATATCAGTACTAATCATTATAGCGAGGATCAATCAGAAATGTTTGAGAATTTTAAACTGAAGGATTTTTTAACATAGATTAATCGATGTAAAGAAAAAGAAGTACCAATAGAGATCCCTGGCTTTGGATACAATAGCTGTGCATATGCTAAATTAGTAGATGAAGAAAAAGTTGCTTATGATAAGAATAGAAAAAGTTCTTATAGTGATCAAATCTTCATTGAATAACAATTCCTTAAATCATCTGCTAAATTGAGGAAAGCGGAGAACAGACTTGTAATATATTTTTTCGAAGTTTATTAAATTTCTAAATAGTTTGAAAAGTTAAAGACAGAACTTGGGAAGTCAAAGGAATCCGACTACGATATTAATTAATTTTCTGGTGGTAATTTATCAGATCTGCCTGTCAACAGTACGATTCATAATCGAGACAAGTCAACCGAACAACAAAACCAGCCTCTAAAGAATATACTCAAATCGATTTCTGAAATTAATAGAAAAGGAATTGACTAGAATATACACTATAATAAAAGCAAAGGAGGCTTGATTCAGCAAAATAAAACTTCATTCAGTAATATCAATAGCGGAATACAGACAGCAAATACGACTTTGCAAGCAGGCACAGGTATACTTGGGTATTAGCCGACTGGTAAAGAATTTGGAGTAAAAACTGGCTAAGCATTCTTCAACTTTAACAGAAGCATTATGAAAGACAAAATAGCTTCAAGAAGATAGTCAAATGATTCAGTCGACCATATTTACAATGGTGATTGAACTTATAAATATTTGTGATGATAACTCACTTGAATCAGAGCTGAATATATTTAATTCTAACAAAGACAGTCATTTGATATAATGATTATATGAATGGATTAATTGATTGATTTAAAATAAAATAAAATTAGCAATTAATTTTAAAAGTATAAAAATCAGGAAGTTTATTGCTTAAAGCCTAGCTCATTTAATAAAATTAAGAAAATGATAAATTATTCATCTCTTAATGGATTGAGTTTTCATTCAGGCAACTCAACTTCATACACAGAGACTATACTCATGCGACGCCAAAATAAGATGGAAGATTAAAAATTTTAGTCTATAATCAAATCTATCAATGATATGGCTTTAAAACTATCAGGATAGAATGAAATCGTTGATGCAATAAGGTACCAAAGTAAATATAAAACTTTGATGAATTAAAAAACTAGCGTTGTAAAGATCAATCCTATTTTAAAAACCAATCCATTTAGTCCTACTTCTTCTACACTAAAATAGCAATTTTTAAGCAATAAATAGTAATATAAAACTTTAGAAAGAAATCATAGAGCAGTCTCATTTAAACCTCGAGTTGATAATAACAATGATGATATTATTTACAAGGAGATTCTTAAGCCGATGAAGCCAATAAAATTTAAACAACCTCTAATTAACTAGTTTTCTGTTAGGAAAAGTTCTACATCTCCTACCCCTTCAATAATTATTAAAAAGCAAAGGATAATGAAGAGAAACTTCGCGAAATCTCTAGAGCAAACTGAAATAAAGAAAAAGAAATAAAGAGTAAGAGAGAGTAGTCCAGATAAAGATTCAGATTATTATAACAATAACAGTAACAACAATTATAATATTGTTGATATTAGACTTAGCAGAGATAAAATGTTTAATGATTCGGATTAAAAAGACAATAACATAGAGAGACAGGATTCTTTAAAGCTATCTTAGCATCACCTTTCATAGAGATCAAGGAAATTCATTATTGTTGATATTGATGAGTACTAAAAAATGCGATTGGTGAAGTAGACTCACACAATTGATTAATAATCTTAGAGGGTCAATGATCAGCTAGATTAAATAAATAGAAAACTTGAGAAGCAAGTTAAAGCTAGCCTTGATAAGCTTGTTGATAAAAAATGAATAAAAATAAAAAGACCTCAATCGAGGAAACAATCTCCAAAGAGGTTGTTAAAGGAGTCGAAAAGTAGATCTAAATCCAGGTCATAATCTAATCTAAAGTAATAAGCTACTCCGCCTATAATACCTGGCTAGTAGCCTTGCCTTAGAAGGCCAATGACAGCAAACTTTAAAGTAGATCATTATTAGCAATTCTAAAATTAAAGGAACCTTATGAAATCAATAGATCTTAGCAATAAGAGCTCAAATAAGTAACTAAATAATCAAACTTTTAGAATTAGTTAAAATAGGAATCTTTTAAGCAAGAAGTCTAAAATTTTAGATTAAATTAGAGGTAATTAAAGTGAAATAATCTCAGAGAATAACCAAAATGAGATTAATTAAAATAGACCATATAGAAGGAGAGCATAGAGCATCACTCCAGAGACATTAGTTCGACATCACATTTATAGAGATTATTCAAGCGTCAAATTTGATCTGCCTGAAGATGAACCTGCTATAGATGTTGAGGATTACATTGAGAAAAATGCTCATTCAAAGTATTAGAAAAAGATGAGATCAAGATTTTAGGGAATATATAAAGATATTTGGCAGTAGAGCCCCAATAAAATGAATTAAAATTCAAGCTCAAAGAGAGTTATCTCTTCTAGATAGCAAATAAAATGATTCATAAGGATAAAATTTATCTCAAGACTCAAAAACTATTTTTAATTTAACATTCAATTTAAATATCTATTGTTGGGGTTTTGGGGTTTTGGGGTTTTGGGG